TCTCCAGAGCCACACTGGCTGTAATATCACCTCGCAGGCGTAAACCTGGTATCTAAAATAAACATAAAAAATGTACAAAAATACAAATCATAAAAAAAATAATAAAAAATCTATGTATTGCTTCTTACTACTTATCTTACAGACAGACAACACATGATTTTATTTGGGCTTTGTCTTTGGACCCTCAGAAAGTGCCGTGTTTGCTGGGTAGCCTGATGGGAGTTGTAGGTGCAGTAGGTGCAGCTAACATTCCAGAAACTTAAAAAAAATAGCACCAACATATTCTACGGTGCAGCGCAATTATAGAAAGGAGATATTTGGCAAGACAAGAGGTGAAGAAAGCCCTGCTCAAACAAGCTTACAATCTACAAGGATTTGAGGTCGGTGGATATATATTGATAGATGTCTTCTTCATGGACACTAACTGATGAGGTGTTTGAACCTGTTTTTCTCAGTTTAAATAGACATTATAGTGTTACTACAAATCTGTATTCCTAACGCTATATTCCCCCTGCCACTAGTTCCATTCATGGCCCCCCACCATGTCAATGTTATTAAAGAAATGAATTACTAACCTTCTCAGCACTGCAGCATTCTCCTCCTCGCGTGACGCCATCCTAGAGGTGTGCCTGTAAGATGATGGCCCATCCAATGATCTCTCATTGAGGGGCGCTTGCTGCAATCTGTGAATGCAATCATTCACTATGGCAAACAGTGATGGTGGCACTGCCCGTGCATGATGCCATGGCATGTCTGGGCACGAGAGTCAAGAATTAATAGTAAAAGGCCTAAGAAAAACGCAAAGCACATTTCTAATGGGAAAAGAATGAACTGATTGACTTCTCACCATCTCACTCTATTCTAACAATAGTCCATCTTCGTCCACAATATACAAATAGTTAGATACATCCGGCAATCTCTCGTTACGTTAATCGTACCCATATATTGGACAGGCTTCCTTAATAAACCTGGTGATGGGATTGCAGGACTGGATAGAATAGTGAAGTCAGATTTAAGCCACCAATCCCTGAAATATTTTCAGGCTTTATTTTTATTTAAAGAAAATATATGTTTAGTAAATATGTAATTTATTTAAACAGCCATCAAGCAAAGAGTGGGAGGATGTACAATATATGTAACAATACTGAGGATTTAAAGAGAATAATGATTCCACGTCACTAAATATAGTTACATTGTTACATAGCTGAAAAGAGAAATGTGTCCATCAAGTTCAGCCTTCCTCACATTTGTTTTTTGCTGTTGATCCAAAAGAAGGCAAAAAAAAAACCCAGTTTGAAGCACAATTTTGCAACAAGCTAGGGAAAAAAATTCCTTCTTGACCGCAGATTGGCAGTCAGATTTATCCTTGGATCAAGCAGTTATTACCCTACATTGAAAGATTATATCATTGAATATTCTGTTTTTGCAAGTATGCATCTAGTAGCCGTTTGAACATCTGTATGGACTCTGATAAAACCACTTCCTCAGGCAGAGAATTCCACATCCTGATTGTTCTTACAGTAAAAAAACCTTTCCTTTGCCTTAGACAAAATCTTCTTTCTTCCAGTCTAAACGCATGGCCTCATGTCCTATGTAAAGTCCGGTTTGTGAATAGATTTCCACACAATGGTTTGTATTGGCCCCGAATATATTTGTATAATGTTATCATATCCCCTCTCAGGCGACGTTTTTCTAAACTAAAGAGGTTTAAATTTGTTAACCTTTCTTCATAGCTAAAATGTTAAATATATATTAAATTACAAATGTAGCTGAAATGTACCATTGTAAATATTAGATAAATAGTTCTTTAAGGTATGCATTGTATAGCAGACTTGGGCGTTGCCTCTATGCACTGTCTGGTCATTGGCCATTTTTTGATTTCTATCTGGATTCTGATTGGCCGAGGAAACATCACGGCAGAGCAAGGTATACTGACAGTGTCCAATTCTTCCTCTGTAAACGAAATGAGTGTCAAAGCTACACAATTGTTCAGAAATCACAAGACAATAAAACTTGTATTTGATTTGCAAGATTACGCCTTTATTATGCTTGTTAGTAAAGTGCATTATTTAATCCTGATAATCAGTTTATTGATTAATTGATATAGTTTTACTTATTGATACATTTTTATTCGTGTTCTGTAAACAGAATTGTGGGAACTTGATAACTGATTTTAAAAAACGCTCCGGTAAAAAAGTCGTGTTTAAAAGAAACACTCTCAAATTTAGTAAAGTTGGAATCTATTAATAAATTATTGCCAGTTCCCTTTTTAGTGAATATAATTTAGTTATTTATAAAATATTTCACCAGGAAGGATACATTGAGAGTTCTCTCATTCTCAGAAGGATTTATGCAAAAGGAAACATTTCTACGCAATTCTTCATTTTTGTATGGGCTCAGAGCTGGGTAATAACCAAAACAAAAGGTTACCTGCGCTCTCTCCCAAATCCCTATGTATATTTAAACAAATGGAGATTATTTAGTTACTCCAGTGGCCATTAGAGGGACGTGGCAGGTGGGCATCCCACTAATGGCTGTGGGCATTTCCCTCTAATGGCCATTGGAGTAACTAAATAACCTCCATTTGTTATAATATACAGAGGGATTTGGGAAGAGCGAAGGTAACTTTCTTTGGTTTTTACTGTATGTAATGGGGCTGATGTGTACTATGGTCATTGCTGCCGCCCAGGAGTAGTGGGAGTTTTGGTGCAGGACGTGTTTTTTTTGTATTTAGAGCTGGATAATATTGACATATATATTAGAAATATTGTGCGTTGAATAGAGTGACATTGTGCAATATCTGGATATTTCAGATACCTCTGCATAATGTCTCAGCCATCTATTACACTGACGGATATATCCGTCAGTTACAAATTTCTGTAAAATATGTCAATTTCTCATCATAACAAAAGTCACTGCCAAAATATTGTTCAGTCCTTTGAATAGAATATTAACAAGCAATGTATTTGAAGACATTTAGCTCTCTGACAATGAAAAGGTTATATGGAAAGAGCCAGTGTAAGACATCATATGAAAACATTCAGCTTTTTCACACATAACCTAAATGCTGTAGACCAAACAAGTTACCGAGACGGGATATGATAAACCCTTCGTGCATATATATTTTAATTTGATACATTTAAAAAAATTATAAGGATACCTGAGCTAAAATATGTGGAACCCAAAATAGTCTTAAAGTTCCTCCTGATTTATACATTTAAAAAGACATCGGGATAAAGATTTTTAGTATTATTTACTAAACAGGGAATTCAAGATGAATTCACTGTGACTTTAAATTTGAAGGTGATAAACTGGAAATATTTTACGCTATGTCTTGGCCTTAAATTTGAATTCTCCTTTTAGTAAATAACCCTATTAGAGTTATTAAATAAAGTGAAAATTCGAAGTGAATTTTACATTTAAGATTTCAAATTTAAGACCAGAATAGGTGAAACAAGACTAGGCAGAACACACTGCGGAAAGTGCTGAATCCTAGTGCTACGGTGCGTCTTACTAAATCAAGAGAACAGGAAAAGACCCCAAAATCGGGGCTGCTCGGACCCCTGCTGCCGCTTTAGCAGTTTCTGTTTGAATTGGTATTCTGGTTACCAGCAAAATGAAATATTTTAGGCTTTGTTGAATGGCGCATGCATAGTGATTCAGATAACAATAACCCCATGAAAGCTAAGTTTAGTAAAATCTTTCTGACAATAAGTCTTTGGGTCTGATGTTCATTCATGCAAACGGTACAATATAACGAGAAAGGTGCGAACATGTTCCTCTGTATGTTACAGATATGTATCGATCCGCTGAGTGCCGCTATCTTGGATCTTTTCTCTCGCTGAACAAAATTAATGACAGAGGGGGAACTGAAGTAATGTGCTTGAGTTTTAGGTAATTTACTTAATTTTTAGTATAAAAGAAAATTGATCATTTATAAAAAAAAGGTTTAATGCAAATTATTGGGGATTTTCATTGTTTGTTGGTGCAATTTGCAAAGAAGGGACATCTCCATTTAACAGCCGGAGTGCATACAACTTTCCCTTTAAGAGAATTACAAAATATTATCAAGTCATTAATGTTTTTATTCCACAAATTTAATAATGCAAATATGTCATACATGAGTAGGTAATATTACTTTCACATAAAATTATCGTCGTGACGTCGTCGTATACTGCTGGAATGTTCCTCATACGAAACCCCTCATGTATAAAAATACACAGAAGTCATTTAGAGAGTCTACTTTGTGTAATTAGTACATACTAAGTGCTAATTCGTAAGTGTGGATTCATGCAAACATTTGAATGGTCTCATTCTTTAGACTGCAAGTTCTATGGATAATAAATCAGAGATTATTCACTGGCTATCAAGCAGAAATTATAACGCAATAAAAAAGATATAATTTATAAATAGATATAGTTTAGTATTTGACCACGAAATAAAAAAAACCCTGTTTTTTTTATCGCAATCGCCAATCATTTCTTTATCCTGTGTCACAGGAGGAATTCAGAATAAGGACCCCAAACTGGATATGTTCGACATTGCGAGGTTCGGTTAGACAATGATACAGCATTACAAGGTTCGGTTGGACAATGATTGGGCATTGCAAGGTTCGATTGGACAATGATCCGGTATTGCAAGGTTCGGTTGGACAATGATCCGGTATTGCAAGGTTCGGTTGGACAATGATCCGGTATTGCAAGGTTCGGTTGGACAATGATCCGGTATTGCAAAGTTCGGTTGGACAGTGGTCCGGCATTGCAAGGTTCGGTTGGACAATGATAGGGCATTGCAAGGTTCGGTTGGACAATGATTCAGCATTGCAAGGTTCGGTTTGACAATGATTTGGCATTGCAAGGTTCCTTTGGACACTGATTTGGCATTGCAAGGTTCCTTTTAACAATGATCCGGCATTGCAAGGTTCGGTCGGACAATGATTGGGCATTGCAAGCTTAGGTTGGACAATGATTCGGCATTGCAAGGTTCGGTTGGACAATGATTCAGCATTGCAGGGTTCGGTTGGACAATGATTTGGCATTGCAAGGTTCGGTTGGACAATGATTCGGCATTGCAAGGTTCGGTTGGACAATGATTCGGCATTGCAAGGTTCGGTCGGACAATGATTTGGCGTTGCAAGGTTCGGTAGGACAATGATTCAGCATTGCAAGGTTCGGTTTGACAATGATTTGGCATTGCAAGGTTCGGTTGGACAATGATTCGGCATTGCAAGGTTCGGTTGGACAATGATTCGGTATTGCAAGGTTCGGTCGGACAATGATTTGGCGTTGCAAGGTTCGGTAGGACAATGATTCAGCATTGCAAGGTTCGGTTTGACAATGATTTGGCATTGCAAGGTTCGGTTGGACAATGATTGGGCATTGCAAGGTTCCTTTTAACAATGATCCGGCATTGCAAGGTTCGGTTGGACAATGATTGGGCATTGCAAGCTTAGGTTGGACAATGATTGGGCATTGCAAGCTTAGGTTGGACAATGATTGGGCATTGCAAGGTTCGGTTCGACAATGATTTGGCATTGCAAGGTTTGGTTCGACAATGATCCGGCATTGCAAGGTTCGGTTGGACAATGATTTGGCGTTGCAAGGTTCGGTTGGACAATGATTCAGCATTGCAGGGTTCTGTTGGACAATGATACGGCATTGCAAGGTTTGGTTGGACAATGATCCGGTATTGCAAGGTTCGGTTGGACAATGATCCGGCATTGCAAGGTTTGGTTTGACAATGATTCGGCATTGCAAGGTTTGGTTCAACAATGATCTGACATTGCAAGGTTCGGTTAGACAATGATTTGGCATTGCGAGGTTCAGTTGGACAATGATTCTACATTGCAAGGTTCAGTTGGACAATGATTCAGCATTGCAAGCTTCGGTCGGACAATGATTCTACATTGCGAGGTTGAGTTGCACACTGATTTGGCATTTTTTAAGGTTCGGTTGGACAATGATTCAGCATTGCAAGGTTCGGTTGGACAATGATTCAGTATTGCAAGGTTGAGTTGGACACGGATTTGGTGTTGCAAGGTTTGGTTGGGCAATGATTCATCATTGCAAGGTTCGGTTGGACACTGATTTGGTGTTGCAAGGTTTGGTTGGGCAATGATTCGGCATTGAAAGGTTCAGTTGGACAATGATTTGGCATTGCGAAGTTCAGTTGGACAATGATTGGGCATTGCAAGGTTCTGTTTGACAATGATTAGGCGTTGCAAGGTGCGGTTGGACAATGATCCAGGATTGCAAGGTTCGGTTGGAAAATGATCCGACATTGCAAGGTTCGGTTGGACAATGATTCGGCATTGCAAGGTTGAGTTGGACACAGATTTGGTGTTGCAAGGTTTGGTTGGACAATGATCCGGCACTGCAAAGTTTAGTTGGACACTGATTTGGTGTTGCAAGGTTTGGTTGGGCAATGATTCGGCATTGAAAGGTTCAGTTGGACAATGATTTGGCATTGGGAAGTTCAGTTGGACAATGATTGGGCATTGCAAGGTTCGGTTTGACAATGATTAGGCGTTGCAAGGTTCAGTTGGACAATGATTTGGCATTGCAAGGTTTGGTTGGACAATGATCCGGCATTGCAAGGTTCTGTTGGACAATGATTTGGCGTTGCAAGGTTCGGTTTGACAATGATTAGGCGTTGCAAGGTTCAGTTGGACAATGATCCGGCATTGTAAGGTTCGGTTGGACAATGATTCGGCATCGTAAGGTTCAGTTGGACAATGACCCGGCATTTCAAGGTTCGGTTGGACAATGATCTGGCATTGCAAGGTTCAGTTGGACAATGATCCGGCATTGCAAGGTTCAGGTTCGGTTGGACAATGATCTGGCATTGCAAGGTCCAGTTGGACAATGATCCGGCATTGCAAGGTTCGGTTGGACAATGATCTGGCATTGCAAGGTTCAGTTGGACAATGATCCAGCATTGCAAGGTTCAGGTTCAGTTGGACAATGATTCGACATTGCAAGGTTCAGTTGGACAATGATCCGGCATTGCAAGGTTCAGGTTCGGTTGGACAATGATTTAGCATTGCAGGGTTCAGTTGGACAATGATTCAGCATTGCAAGATTCGGTGGCACCATGATCCGGCATTGCAGGGTTCGCCTGGACAATGATTCGGCATTGCAAGGTTCGGTTGGACAATGATTCGGCATTGCAAGGTTCGGTTGGACAATGATTCAGCATTGCAGGGTTCGGTTGGACAATGATTTGGCATTGCAAGGTTCGGTTGGACAATGATTCGGCATTACAAGGTTCGGTTGGACAATGATTCGGCATTGCAAGGTTCGGTTGGACAATGATTTGGCGTTGCAAGGTTCGGTAGGACAATGATTCGGCATTGCAAGGTTCGGTTGGACAATGATTCTGCATTGCAAGGTTTGGTTGGACAATGATTCAGCATTGCAGGGTTCTGTTGGACAATGATACGGCATTGCAAGGTTCGGTTGGACAATGATCCAGCATTGCAAGGTTCGTTTGGACAATGATTCGGGCATTGCAAGGTTCGGTTGGACAATGATTCGGCATTGCAAGGTTCGGTTGGACAATGATTCGACATTGCAAGGTTCGGTTGGACAATGATTCTGTATTTCAAGGTTTGGTTGGACAATGATTCAGCATTGCAGGGTTCTGTTGGACAATGATCCGGCATTGCAAGGTTCGGTTTGACAATGATTCGGCATTGCAAGGTTTGGTTGGACAATGATTCGGCATTGCAAGGTTTGGTTGGACAAGGATTCAGCATTGCATGGTTCGGTTGGACAATGATTTGGCATTGCGAGGTTTGGTTGGACAATGATTCAGATACATTTTGGCTCAGAGTTCAGGTATTCGGCCGATCATACCATCAGCCAAAATTCGACCAAATTGTACTTTGGACAGAAACGAATCTCCAAGTCTCGTGCAAAAGCTACCCTATCCCAGGTTTAGAGCCACAGTGAAAAGAATCTACCTTTATCGCTTTGGGGTGGCCTTAATTTAATGACACACTTAATAAATTACTGATCAACCGTGTAAATGGATGAATTATCAGGGTCATAGATCAGTGTAACTCTGTGTTTATGTACAGCTCTGTATACATCGTCAGCTTTAAATTTATTTTAACCTGTTCATTGCCAGAGTTACGTTTTGAATTAGGAAAGTAACTCGAATTAGTGATCAAAACACTAAACAACCCCCAGATCTGTGGGGGGGTTCCTCGAAATGGCACAGTGCCTGTTGGTTCACCCCGTGCAAGCAAATCCAGCAATTTTACACCATAACTATCGGCTCAATATTCAGCTAATATAAATATAACTGTTTCAGTCAAATAATTCTTCTTAAAAGGAGCACCAAATGGACTCCAGATGGCGTTGCCTCTTACAGTTTGCAGAAATCACTCATTATTGCTCCTTTAATTTATCAGGACTCCCTTTCTATTGCTGGCCTTTTGAGGAAATAATCAAAAACAGCCTGATTTCAGCTTTCTGCTATTTAATTTATATTTATACATTTATGTATTTTTTTTAAGAGCATTTATCTCCAGCTCTGAATAATACTTTTATTTTGGGGAGCTGATGCAGTGAAGGTGTCCCGGCCCTCGTGGTATTTATTGAACCGCGTTTAATATAAGAAGTGCTGTAATATCAGCAATGTTTTCTGAGCTATTACAACATCTGGATTCTATAGAGAGTCAGAGGATGGCAAACACATGGCGAACCTCGCAGCTAACCTTCCACAGAAATCCCTGCAAAGAGAAAAATGTTTGTATCAATGTGATGTTCTCTGTCAATTTAAACCATACTCTCCTTTTAATATCAAACCTGCCGCATTGGAAGCTCACAATTCCGACATTCTTTAAATCTGGGCTGGAATCTCCTGCATATTATTTACCAATCTTTCTACGTGATCTTAGTTTATTTTGTGATTTCTGTAACCCCTTCTGGTGACGTATAAAGGTCTGCTCAGGGACTCTGTGCCAAAACTCACCACAACTGCATACCTCCCAAATGTCCCTGTTTAGGAGAGACAGTCCCTATTTTGGGTCCAAATCCCTCTGTCCCTCTTTTCTATGCCAATGTCTCTGTTTTCTAGGAGCTCCATATTGTTGGTGTGTCTGAGTGTACAACAGAGCTCCAAAGTAATAATACTCCCAGTAATGTGTCTGAGTGTATAACAGAGCTCCACAGCAATAATACTCCCAGTAATGTGTCTGAGTGTATAACAGAGCTCCACAGCAATAATACTCCCAGTAATGTGTCTGAGTGTATAACAGACCTCCAAAGTAATAATACTCCCAGTAATGTGTCTGAGTGTATAACAGAGCTCCACAGCAATAATACTCCCAGTAATGTGTCTGAGTGTATAACAGAGCTCCACAGCAATAATACTCCCAGTAATGTGTCTGAGTGTATAACAGAGCTCCACAGCAATAATACTCCCAGTAATGTGTCTGAGTGTATAACAGAGCTCCACAGTAATAATACTCCCAGTAATGTGTCTGAGTGTATAACAGAGCTCCACAGTAATAATACTCCCAGTAATGTGTCTGAGTGTATAACAGAGCTCCACAGTAATAATACTCCCAGTAATGTGTCTGTGTGTATAACAGAGCTCCACAGTAATAATACTCTACAATTTCAAAAGATATCAACATTTGTCTTTTAAAATAAAACTTTGTAGGCCAAGATTACTAATATTATTAGGCTTTTCTATAAATTAGGATTTAAACTTCTGCTCTCCAGTAGCCATTGGCAAGTGAAAATGTAGCTCTGACATACAGATATTCACCCCTGGCTAGTGCGCCATGGACCCTTCACGCTCTCTCCTGTCCTGCAAACTACATCCGTATAAAGCGTTCTATCCATCCACGATGGGGACAAACCTGCTACTTCATCATTTCCCTGGGGATTCTATCGTCTATTAATAATGACACACTATTAAACCGTTTCTGGTCTTTTGACATCCCATCTATTGTTACATTAAGTGACGCAGATCTGATGTAAAAAATTCACTTTCTGTCACGTTCCCTTACACTCTGCCATGCACTCACTAACACATTTACACTCACGCACACATTCACTCACACACTCACTCACGCTCTCTCTCCCTGTACTCTCTCTGTCGCTCACTCACACTCTCTCTCTCTCCACCTACTCACTTCGTTGCTCACTCACACTCTCTCTCTTTTTCTCTCTACTCACTCTGTTGCTCACTCACACTCTCTCCCTCTACTCACTCCATCGCTCACTCACACTCTCTCTCCCTTTACTCACTCTGTTCCTCACTCACACTCTCTCTCCCTTTACTCACTCTGTTGCTCACTCACACTCTCTCTCCCTCTACTCACTCTCTCTCACTCACTCACACTCTCATTCTCCCTTCACTCACTCTGTTGCTCACAGTCTCTCTCTCCCTCTACTCACTCCATCACTCACTCACACTCTCTCTTCCTCTACTCACTCCATCACTCACACTCTCTCTCTCCCTCTACTCACTCCATCGCTCACTCACACTCTCTCCCTCTACTCACTCCGTCGCTCACTCACACTCTCCCTCCATGTTATACTTTTGTGTTTTTTTTTAAATAATAAACACTCCCTATACGCCATTCTTCACATGATCAGCTTAAAGCGATCCAAACACTCTAGGGGTGACATCATAAGCTCCCCCCAAGAAGATTTTAAACTGCCAGTTTTGAGACCATATGTGAGAGTGAGTGAGTCAGTGTGAGGCTCGTCATTAGAGAAAGCAGCGGCTGGGCCCCCTCCCCCAGATTTCTGTCTCACTATTTTCTTTTATTTGGGTGAATTGTAATTAGAGGCCGTCAGACCGCGCCAAACCCCAGATCGGGAACAATCCCAGAAAAAGATCTCTCATACGAGAATAACCATTACTTTTATTGGCACGATTCCAGCACGCTCACCCTAGATAAAAGTTATCTTTTGGGATCCCCTCCTCTTTGCAGTGAAAGACGAGGATTAGACGACACTCGGTCTTAGCATGATAGGAAACGCATTTGTGGAGATAATAATAATAATAACACAGCATTTAACCAGGAAAGGGACATTCAGATTACTCTGGTTTTGAAGTACGTCCTGGGGATGTTACCTTAGCCCAACATTCAATTCTGATTAATTCCATGCTTCGGGTTAATGCACTTTCACTGCAGCGAGCTCCTTTGTCTTGGCCTATTATAAATCTATTGGTACCATTTCTTTTTTCGTCACTTGTCTAATCCCATGCCCTTCTTTTCATATGCAGTAATTATTAACATCTGTTTTATAAGTTTGCGAGGGCAGTTTTTATACAAAACAATGACAACAGCTGTTCCGTGTAGCCCAGGGCCCATACTTCCTGTTCAGTCTGCATCTGCCCTCCTGTGTCCAATTTATGTCCAAAGCTTTGCTTATTCTGACCTCGCTATGTGTTTAAGAAGAGGTTTTTTTGCTTCGGCTGTGAAGTTGGAACTGAATTGGAAAGAAAGATCAGGTTAACCCTTCGCGAAACCAACTCTTCAGGCAGACCTTTACAGTCCTTGAAGAGTTAATAAACTATATTGTCAGACAATTCACTAAAGAGGGAGTTCTCAGGAATAACACATTTAAAGTGAATTTCAAATTTTAGGGAAAAAAAATCACAAAGAATAAAACAATTGCAAAATTGCAGGAAACTTTTTCCAAATCAGCAAATTTGGCCTAAAATGTTCAATTCAATTCACTTTAGATTCCCAACAATTGATACTTTAGTAAGTTACTCTCTGTGTCATTGAAAAACAGAGGTTGGAAAGAATTTGGGATGTAATAGCCAGGTCACCTGATTTTCTAAAAGGTGCAATAAACAGTGATTCACCCAAACGGCTCAGTGACTGTGGAAGAATCAGACAGGGGAGCGCCCGATACACACCGTTTATGTTGAGTGGTAAATAAATCTATATTTTTAAGTAAAAAATCACCAAATTGTAAAATAGCTAATTATTTTTTATTTTTATCATCTTGCGCAATCATTAAATCACATGTTCATTAAAGTCGCACTGTAGCGGGGGTGGGGTAGGGGGGGAGGTAGATCTGCCCCCATTCCCTCGTTTATTACCATCATGTCACTTAATTTGGGATAATTTAATCCATTTATGAAACATTACACAGTTTCTCGGATTACGATATTAGTGATATTGTGAAAACACTAAACACAGGAATAGTTTTGTGACATCCATACAATGAAATGATGAAACACTAACAGATACATTGTAATGATATTTAAAGACTTCACTTCAAATAAATAGATTTAAAAAATACCGTTTGCTGCATCGTCGGAGTATTCCCAGCAAGAAGTTGGAATTGTGAGGGAATGCTGTGCACTATCTGAGTCACGTGAATTATTATTAACTAAACTGAAAATGATCGGAAATCAGAGGGAATTCAAAGTAATTTCATCATTTAGGCCAAGATCAATAAACTGAAATTTTACAATTTGTCTCTTTTAGCCAAAAATGTTAAATTCACTTTGAATTCCTAACTTAGAGAATGTATGATTTGATGATTCACAGTAATGATAACAGCGAGTAAGCCATCTTGCAGTGCTCCTAATATGAAGACAATGCCCTGTGTCTACTGATATCAGCCAGTAAGCCATCTCACAGCACTTCTAATACTGAGACAATGCTCAGGATGTCTAATGATAACAGCGAGTAAGCCATTTTGCAGTGTGACTAATTGTCAGGACTGTCATCATGCCTTTCACATTTATTGCATATGTGGTCCTGGCTGG